AGCAGGAAGTATTAGTCCCATTTTCCAGATAAGGAAATGAGGAGTCACAGAGGTTAAGTGTCTTGCCCAAGTCTAGGCAGCTACTAACTGGCTGAGCGAGGACCTAAAACCAGGTCTTTCCATCCCAGATCCCATTCTGTCTCCACTAAAGCAGGCCTGCCTAACATACTCAGGCTCCCAAAGAAACATGAGCAGGAAAGGGGGTTCCTGGGCTGTCTGTGTTACAAATGGAGTAGATTCTACAGGGTTTAGAATGCAGAAAACCCAAAATGACTCCCTGTCCCATCAGGGTTCAGGCCCCACAAGCCTGTCCTTCACCACAGGTCAGTCACCTCCTCTCTTTTTATTTCCCCCTCCTTTTTTTATTGAAATATAGTCGATTTACAATGTTGTGTTAATTTCTGCTGTACAGCAAAATGATTCATTTATACCTATATATACATTCTTTTTAAAATTCTTTTCCATGATGGTTTATCACAGGATATTGAATATAGTTCTCTGTGCTATACAGTAGGACCTTGCTGTTTATCCATTCTGTATATAATAGTTTGCATCTGCTAACCCCGAACTCCCAACCCATCACTCCCCTACCACCCACCCCTTGGCAACCACAAGTCTGCTCTCTATGTCTGTGAGTCTCTTTCTGTTTCATAGATAGGCTCATCTGTGTCACCTCCTCTCTTAGCTGCACACTGAAGACTTTTGTAAAACACATCAATTCTTCCAGCACAGGACAGTAAACTGGAGCGGCAGAGATGGCAAACCCACCTCTGCCATGTACTAGTTATGAATCTTTGGTAAGTTCTGAACCTCAGTTTTCTCCCAAATAAAACGGGATCAGGGAATTCCCTGGAGGTCCAGTGGTTAGGACTCAGTGCTTTCACTGCTGGGGCCCAGGTTCGATCCCTGGTCAGGGAAGTAAGATCCTACAAGCCACGTGGTGTGGCCAAAATTAAAAAAGAAAAAACATTAAAATAAAATAAAATGGGACCATGAATAGCACCTACCTCTCAGTTATTTCTGCAATGGTCAAATGAGATAATGCATTAAAACCCTTAGTGCCTGCCATATATAAAGTTACCTATTAATTAATGTTGTCAGTAGCATTCTATTCGAAGGGAAAATTGCCTCTTACCCTACACTCTAAAAAATTCTCTTGGCCAAGCAGTGAATGAACTAAGTAAGTAACTGCTGATGAAGTGCTGGCTAAACCCAGGCCTACAGTCATTCAGCAACTCTACCTGGGCCTCAACCCCAAGCAAAGATTACTTTTAGGAGCTAAATAACCTCTTTGCTGACCGAAATTGCTCGCTCAGGAGCCAGGATTCTCTCTGCTTAGGAAACCTTGGGTGTTCTGTGGTTATCTTCACCGTGTGGCTAAACTTGAAGTCGGCTCAAAGTCACAGTCTAACCATAAACCAATTTGCTCTGTTTTCTTAAACCGTCTGCAAACAAAACATAATCGTTTGGTTTTTCCGTTGTTGTTCTGAAGCAAAACAAAAATATTTAAAGTCACCCCTATGAGAATTTTAACAAGCAAGTTCAAGGGGAGTCAAAATAATTTTTTGTACCCTGGATGAAACAGGTAGGTAAGAGGGCTTAAGGATTAGCTACAGTAGACAATAAACACAAACAGCTATTATTCACCAGGAAACAAGAAAACAAAGGAAAAGCAAATCCAAAACACTATAAGACCAACAAAACAGCTATCACTCACCAGTTTGTTTGTTTTTCATTCTAAAGCAGCCCACTATCAAGCTGATTTTATAAAGAATCTGTCAGGACTGCTTTTCTCCAAAGAAGGAGGCAAGGGGGAAAAACTGCTTTGTCACATTGCCTAAAACATACACACAAACCAAAATTAGTGGGCAAAAATGCTACAAGAATGGGTGAAGTCACCGCACCCAGCAAAGTCCTCATGTTGGAATCATCTCTGGCCATCCTTCCTGTCTTGGAGAAGGGGGATGAGAAGCCAGGTTAAAAAATTGCTTTTCCAGCCCTACTAAGCATTAAGTCTTCCAGCACCTCAGCTTCCTTGCTTCCGTACCCATTATCATTAATGCCCAAACAGAGCTTCATCTTTTCTACAACTTGGCCATTTTTTAAGCTGCTACAGTTGATTGCATTTAAAAACACACACCATCCAAGCCTTACAAAACCAACCAAGTGTTAGGGAGGCAGTCGGATAACTTCACCCACATTTCCTATATGTATGGTACAAGCTTCAGAAATCTCAAATATGACTTTCAATCTCAAATATGATTCGACTTTGAAAAACTCAATTTACACCCACAGTTTCAGGAGTACACAGTGAGGCAGGGCTGTGCCTATTGTAAAATTAAGAACAAAGAGAAAACACGGCCCAGAAAACAGCATCATGAAAATCTGAGGCACGGGCAAGTGACACAGGTTCCAGTCCCAGCTCCTCTACTGTCTTGCCAGGTGACCTCAGCCCAATCACTGTCTTCCCTGGGCCTCAATAGCCTTATTAAAAAAAAAAAAAAAAAAGAAAAAGAAAAGAAACAAGCAAAGAAACAAAGAAAAAGGACCTTGAGCTACCCTGAAGTCTGGTCCAGCTCAAAAACCGCGCTGAATCCCTGAAATACCCAATATCAAAATAGACCGTCAAATGTGGATTTTGAAGATGCTTTTTCAGAGAGCCTTTTAGACTTCCTATTTTATAATGTATCCAAAAATGAGAAATAAAGAGCCCTCTTGAGTTTCTACAGGACAAATTAGAGAGGAAGGAAATACCTGAATAGGGGAAAAGTGTAGCATGGCAAGATGCTATTGAAACACAAGGAAGGATTGGGCAAGAAATAAATTTACCCAAGAAACGTTTCGCTGATTCAAAGCACAGCTAGCAACCATCAGGGCCCAAGCAAAACCATAAATAATATAATAAAATATATATGTACCAAAGTAAACTAAAAATAAATGAAGTATTTCTTTAGTATTAACTTTGGTACAAAAGATCTTCAATATGAGGCAATATTTTTTTAATCTCATATACTATTCTCCATGAATTTCCTTACAGGGTCAGGGAGAAGACAGTCCATACACACTGTACCTTAATGTTAACCCCATCTGGACACACTTTTTTTTTTTTTTTTTTTTTTTTTGCGGTACGCAGGCCTGTCTCACTGTTGTGGCCTCTCCCGTTGCGGAGCACAGCCTCCGGAGGCGCAGGCTCAGCGGCCATGGCTCACAGGCCCAGCCGCTCCGCGGCACGTGGGATCTGCCCGAACCGGGGCACGAACCCGTGTCCCCTGCATCAGCAGGCGGACTCTGAACCACTGCGCCACCAGGGAAGCCCTGGACACACTTTAATGTTTACAAAGCTCTTTCAGACACTGGCCAGTGAAAGTCCCTCAAACAACGCTATGGGGCAGGTGGTCCCATGCTACAAAAGCTATTAACTGAGGATGGAGGAGACGGAAGAGCAAGTCCAACCTGCACCCGGCCCTGGAGCTGGTCTTCTGACACCTAATCCAATATTCTCTGCAGGAGGTCACAGAGCCTTCCAGGCCTTCAGGACAGCCTGTTCAAAGCCTGCCGAGGAAAACTGTGAGGGGACACTAGCAACCAGAGCGTCCTTTGGGTGCTGAGAGTTGTCGCAGCCCCCAGGCCCCAGCTGCCTTCTTGTCCTGCCTGCTGGGCTGCATTGCTGCCCCAAGGCTGACGTCTCTGCTCTCAGACAATCTTTTTATTTGTGCTTGAAAAGTTTTCCCTTGTAATAACCTACAATGGAAAAGAATCGAAAGTATATATATAGATATATACATATATATGTATACCCGAATCACTTTGCTGTACACCTGAAACTAATACAATATTGTAAATGAACTACATTTCAATTTAAAAGAAAGAAAGAGAAAAGGAAGGGACCTGGGGGGAAAAAAAAAAAAAACAGTTTTCCCTGAAGCCAGGTTCCATACCCAGCCAGTAACTCACTTCCCAGGTTTTCAAACATCATGTCCTCAGAGCCGCTGTCTGTATAAAAGAAGCAAGGTTTTTCCTTTACAAAATGCACAACAGGGGTATCATCAGGGCCCTTTCCACTGCGAGTTCAAGACCCTAGCAGTCTCCTAGAAAGCTGTGAGGACGAACCCGCTGGCTCAGCTCCCGCCGCAGGGCTGGGTGATTCTGCTTTTTCACTTCCAGTTCCCTATCTGTGAAATGGGGACATCTCCCAGCTGCCCGGCCTCACCCCGTGGGAACACCGTGAAGGGGAAACGGCGCTTTCAGAAAGATCGTCACCAAAACGGCAGGCACAGCATTATCTGAAAAGCGAAGCTAGAAAACAGGGCGGGGAGGTGGGGGGGGGAGCCGGCGCCCACAAAGCACGAATTAAGCATCCAGGGAAGCAAGCAGCTTCTCCGGGAAGAGGACCGTCGCCCGGAGGCACGCCTGCGAGTGGCCACCTTCTCCCCAGGCTGGGAACTTTCCCCAGAAGCAGCGCCCTCTGCCCGGAGGCCCCGCGCCTCTCCCACTGCCCGCCGCCCGGCGCCCGACCCTGCCCCGGCTCCCCGCGGCCGCCGCCGCTGCCCTTCGGCCCGGCCCCTCGGGCCCCCGCAGGCCGGGTCGGAGGTCGGCTGCGGCTCGGCCAGGCCCGCCCGGCTCCGCGTCGGGAGCCCTCCACAAACACGCCCCCTCCGGCCGCCTCGGGCTGGCGAGCCGGGCCCGCGCCGGCCAGATGTGACCAGCTCGGGTCAGGGCCGGGCCAGAGACGGCCTGCAGCCCGCGCGGGGCCGGCCACGGGGAGGCTCCGGGCACCCGGGACCCCGAAGCCCACCACCCTCCCTCGTGTACGCGGCAGCCGGGGAAACGGCTCCGTCGCCGGAGCGCGAGGCCGGCCTCCAGCAGCGGGGGGCCCCGAGGACGCGGACCCCCCGCCACCTCCCCCGATCCCGGCAGGCAGGGCGCACCCGGGCAGGTGCAGGGGCTGCCAGTCCCGCCCCCACCCTCCTCGCGCCCCCCCACGGGCCCACCCATCTCACCTGGCCCAGGCGCAACAGCAGCAGCAGCGGCGGCAGCGCCCAGCGGAGCCGGGGCGAACGCGGAGGCGGCCGCGCCTCCCGCGCCGCCTGCTTCATTCCCCGCGCGCCCTGGAACGTGCCCGGGACGCGCGAGTCGGGCCCCGCCGTGCTTCCGAGCCCCGGCGCCCTAGTCGCCGCCTCCAGCCGCCGCCTCCGCCTCCTCCTCCTCCAGCCGGTCCGCCTCGTCCCCGCTCCGCCCGCCCCGGGCTTCCCCGGGGACATGGCAGCAGCGGCGGCGGCAGCGGCCACACGGCGGAGCCTGGCGGGGCTGCAGCGGGGTGGACGCGTCCCTGGGCGCGCAGGGGCTTCGCAGGGCGGAGCGAGCGGCGCCCACCCCCCGCGCTCAGCGCCCTGATCCCGGCTCCGGCGGCTCCGGCTGCCTCCTCCGCGCGTCATGCGGATGGGGCTGCAGGGAGCCTCGGCGGGCGCTCAGCCCCCTCCCTCCCCTCCCCCTCTGAATATTCATCGCTTCCTCCCACCCCGGCCGGCCGACCGGCTGCCGAGCACCGCGGCCCATCGCCGCCCTCCCGCTGCAGCCCCCGCCCCCGCCGGGCCGGCCGGGCGGCTGGGAGGGGGCGGCGGCGCTCCCCGCGCGCTCCCGGGCGGCTCCCCTCCGGCGGGCAGAGGAAGCTCCCCCGCCTTGCCCGCCCTCTCCGCCCAGCCCTCCCACATTCCTGGGACTCGGCACCCGGGACGCGGCTCTGCGGCTCTCGAGACGCGAGCCCGTACCCCTCGGCCCGGTTCCATGGCCCCGAGTTTGGGTCACCAGATGTTGACCGAGACCCCTGCCGAGGGCACAGCCAGGCCTGCGTTAAGACGGCAACCCAGGGAAGGCCTGGTTGACCTTCGCTGGGTTGCCGGCGAAGGCTTGGAGTGGCAGTGGAGGTGCATGAACCCCTAAATTGTAGGGGACGTGCAGTGTGTTCTCCCCGCCCCCATCCCCGGACCAGGGAGGCAGAGAGCAGGCATTGGAGCGGGTCCAGTGATTAGGATCCCCCGCTCTGCCATGTGGTAAACCTGGCTCTGCTAGTAGTACTAGCTGTGTGACCTCGGGAGAGGCATTTCACCTCTCTGGGCCTCCTTTCCTCATCTGTGAAGTGAGGATAATACTAGTACCTGGCTGGAGAGACTTGACCATTATATGAGATAATGAACGGAAAAGTCCTAAACACCCGGCCTGACACCACACATAGTGGGCCTCAGTAAGCAGTAGCTCTTCCAGCAGCTTTCATCACATTTTCAAAGAAGTCCACAACCCGAAAGGGGTTGAAGATTACTGCAGATGTTACTGTTATGCCCATGCACACAGGAGGGAACTGAGAATCAGATGCTCAGCCTGTTGCCCAAGGAAAAGTAATGAGAGAAAGGGCCAAACCAAGGAGTGCTGGGGAGGGAGAGATGAATTCCAACCAGGGGAGGAGGTGACACCTGAGCTGGGCTTTGAAGGATGGGTTGAATTTCACCAGGAAGATAGAGGGGGGCAGGGGCTCAAGAAGTGGGAGCAACTTGGCAAAAAATGGGAGACGGATGCTTCAGGCTTGGCCCTTCTGAGAAGAAGCAAATGGGAGGTTGAGGGGTTCATATATAGAGACTCTGAAAGGCACAATAATAAGTCTGGGCTGGATTCGATGTGCAGCAGATTGTAAACCACCAGGTGCCCAACACCACAACCAGACACCTCTTGTACCTCAGGTTCCCCATCTACGAGACAGGAACGCATCTTCGCTTAAAGGGTCTAAGCAGCTCCTACCAGGACTGCACACACAGAGAACAGAAGGTAAAGGAACCTCACCTGGTCACTCAAACACCCTGCCATCTTTTGTTTAAACACGGTGTAATTATCGTAATTCACCAGGAATTCTGTTCCTTCCTAACTCCTCACCTTCTTGGGGCAGAGACAGGTGGTTTGAAAGCCGTTCGTATCCATGATGGCCAAAGAAAGCGTGACTTACTGCCAGTGCTACCAGGTCTTCAGGTTGCCCCACATACTCATAGACCCTACCGACCCTAAGGATCCATCCAAGCCTCCACTGCTTCGTGACAGGTCTGCAAATAGCTCTGGGAACACCAGCGTGCGCTTGGGTTTTTCTCCTGGATGAAATATGTGCTCACGGTTGTGTTAGTTGGAACCGGATTTCCCCACAACATGGTGATGAAAGAGAATAAACAGTATTTTCAGTAAAGGGAGTTACAACCTGAATAATAAACTACCTGTTCAGTCATAAACAGATCACACTGGATTAATGACCTATATGAGACATAAATTAATCCTGAGTACGTGTGGTATAAACTCCCTGAGGGCAGGGATCGGGCCTTTCTCCCCCTGGTTGCCCTGCAACACCTCACTCAGTGCCTTACCCATGGCAGGAAAAGCTCATTTTTCCACAAGGATAAATTAGGGAAGGGTCATTCTCTTTGCAAAAGGACTTGAGATTATGTTCCAGTGTACAGGAAGATCCTCAGATGCCACCTCCCCTAGAAATTCCCAGATGCCCCAACCCTGAGTTGGGTACCCTTCCCTCTCTGTGCTCTTGTAGCTCCCTGTGCTAACCTAACCTAACCACAGTGGACTGTAAGTCAGGCCCTTGAAGACAAGGCCTGCATTTTCCTTGTCACTGTATCCCCAGCACATAATAATCACTCATATAATATTTATTTAGCTGAATTGAATGCATTCCTTTGAATAGCAAACTAAGGTGTTAAATGTATGTCTGTACACACACACACACACACACACACACACACCCCAACTTCCATTTGCAAACAGCTTTTCAGGAATAAATCTGCTGTGCAAAGTTCAGAGCACATTCTCTCTGGAATAAATAATGCTATCTGACCTTTTAATCACGTCCACCCTCAAGCAAAAACTAAAGCTCTACTGAATATGGAGCCAGGTGCCCAGAGAACGAAAGGGTCAAAGCAAAGAGAGGCTGGAGGGCAGCGTACCTGAATGTGTTCCAAAATTGCCAGGTAAGAATCACCCAGTGGCTTGTTATAATATACGTTCCCATGCCTTTCCTTAGACTGCAGAGGACTGTGTCTGTACTTTTCACCAGCTCCTTGGTAATTCTTGCTGTGAAACAGGATTGGAAGGCACTATTGATCTTATGGCTGGCCTGCATTGCATCCCTACTAATAATAAAGACCATTGATCTGGTACTAACTAGGTGCCAGGCACTACTCTAGGTACTTTACATCCATTATTTCTGCTCCTTACTACAACCCTATAGAATGGGTATCATTATCAATATTTTAGGAACAAAGAAACTACATCTCAGAGAGGCTTAGTTACTTACACAAGATCACAGAGCTTCAGAGGGGCAAAATCAGAATCTGAAACCATACCTTTCTTGCCACTATGTCATGGTGCCCCTTCCCTTGACATTTGTAGATAACAATATAAAGTGTTTTCTGTGTTGGCTGTTGTTATTACTTTTATCATGACTCTCTTGGGCCTCAGTTTCCCCAATTTTAAAATAGGCAGTGACAGAAGGTACAAGACTTTCCACTTCATCCCCCAAGAACGGGGAACAGGCAAGGCAACCATGTTTCATGAGAGGTCCACCATCCCAGCAGGAAGCAAGCCCGCTGGGCACCAGCCTGGAACCAGGTCGCCGGCCCTGCAGGGAGTCAATTCAGCCTGGCAACCCTCAGTTTATTTTAAAAGCCACCATGAGCAAACCATTCTCCAAAGCCCTCCTAAGCGGAATGGAATGTTTCTTGGGAGTCTGATTAGCTAATGTTGCAGGCATGGCTGCCCTGAGACCTTCCTGCCTCACAGACTTGAACTGAATCAGAGTGGAAAGGAAGACTTTTCGAAAGTTCTTTAAAAAAAAAAAAAAAGTAGCACTTCATCTTTACAATAGTAACGGGCTGTTTCCTGTGGACTAATAACTGGGCTGTGGTTAGAACTCCATGTTTGTCCACCAGACCTCAGTTCCTCCTGAAACACGGCCTTAATCACCTGCCCCTGTACCAAACCAGGGAGTGTCTCAGCAAGGCCTTTTTTGTTCCTGACTTCAAGCACCTGCAACGTTAAGCATGTTCATATTTCTGTGCGTGTGTGTGTGTGTATTATGTGTTGTGTGTTGTATGCTGAGATAGGAAACAAAGTTTACTTACAAAGAAACAGTAGCACGTGACAGATTTTTCAGAGTGTAGAGAGCAGAAGGAGAGCCATTGCTCTCAAGAGTCCCCACCCTTTCCCAAATGTAGGCACCCACAGGGAGGAGCCCACGGGCTTCTGCACTTCCAGCTGTTAGGTCCTGAGTCAAGCTCCCAGGGAGCCCAGTACCTTCGAGCTCCCAGGGAGTCCGGTACCAATCACACTGGGCTGGCAGAACGAACACGAGACCCAGGGTTTGGGGGTACCTGGGTACACAGGGAGTGTGTGGTAAGGAGACTTGGAGCCTAGGGGACAAGAGGCTTTTGTCCAGGGCTTGAGAACTACTTCCACACAAAGACCACAAGTGCCAGGTTGGGGGCAGGAGGGCAGTCAAGCCTGCAGCAGAAACATCACCTCCAACAAAGGAAGGGCTGAGAGGTGTAAAGACAAGAAGAGGGAGAGTAGGCGGGAGGCCCAGAGTCCCAGGGCTTCTTGGCAGCCGGGTCCTTCCTCGTTAAAAATAAATTAATTTTTTTCAGGTTTGAAAAGAAATGTTCTTTCTTCTTTTTTTTCTTTTTTTTCAGGTTGAAAAGAAAATCTTAATCACATTGGGCTGGATGTATACAACACCTGGGTCCCTGCAGTTAGGGTAAGTAATCAACTCGTGTGGGAACAATTGTATAGTGGAATCTTGCTAGTAGAGAAGAAAATACCCTGAAATCTAAATAAGCAAATAAAAATCATATATGGCACTACAGTTACATTATGTATATAAATGATATATAAACATGTGCACGTATATATCATATTAGTATATATCATATTAGAGAGATACAAGCATGAGCTTTGCTAGTGGCAATAAAGTCTAGTGGATATGAGTCTGGACTCTGGAGTCAGCTGCCTGGGTTCAAATCCTGGTCCTGCCATGTATTAGCTGTGTGACCCTGGATAAGTTACTCAAGTTCTCTGTGCCTCAACATCCTTATCTGTAAATGAGGATGTTCTTGATGATAATATCTACCTCATAGAATTTTTATAAGTATTACAGTAGTTAAAGCACCGATAATACTGCCTGGAATAAAGTAAATACCATGTAAGTGTTTGCCATTATTAAAATATTTTTTTGGAAGATCTGAAGCAGGGTGGTGTAATGGGGGAGGATATGTGCTTTGGATCAGATGGTCATAGGTTCAAGTCCTATGCTTGCTATGTAATTTTGGCCTCCATTTCCTCATGTAAAGAATGGGATGATAGAGACTTCCCCGGTGGTCCAGCGGCTAACACTCCATGCTCCCAGTGCAGGGGG